GTCCTCTCTCTCTCCTCGACTCTCTCTCTAAATTTGTTCATCATTTCAGCTTCTTTTGAAGCTGTAACTCATCTGATCCAACAGGGCTGTTTGAGTGTTAGGGTTTAGAGAATATGGGTAATAGGATCTTTTCTCTCTAGGTAATATTGATGGATAAAAACATTGATATTATATTTAAAGTTCCTTAGCCATCATATCTAATAGGTCTTTTATGTTTAAAAGTTTGATTGAATCACACATCAGAAAATTGAGAACTCCCAAAAATATCATTTAAGACTTTAATACTGCAATAAATGAAATTATAAGTTATTTGTAATAGTTTTTAAGTAATATTTTATAAATAGAATTAAAATAAGAAATAATAAACTAATAGAATAAGAAACTAATACTAGTAATATTAGAAATATTGATACTAATACAAATGGGAAAATGCTATTAAGATTAAAAATTCTAAATTATTAAAACTATAATAATAATACTCCTTAATAACATAAATTTTTGAATAATATAGTAGTTTCATATTTAAATATAATTACAATTACGAAACTATTTATGAAATCTAATTTAACCCATTCTGTGTCAAATGCTGCAATAAAAGGTCATAATTCTCATCCAATGTGCTCTATTCTTTAAAAATAACTACTTAAAACTAACATGTTTCTCTATTTATTTCTTATACTGCTACAGATCTTAAATTTTATGTGGCTAAAATTTTCTCTCATCTGGCGCTATTTCCGCTTCTGGTCTCTGGTACATTGGCAAGTTCTTTCATTGGGTTAGATTTATCTGCACTCTTCTTCTCACTTGCATCAACCTTTGACAAATTGGCTGTTTCTTTGCACTCATTTCATTCTAGGTCAGTGGTATTGAAACCCCTGAAAACATGCCGCGATGCATTAATAATTGCTACAACCTGGAAAGTTTTTGGAAAAATTGGCATGCTTCCTTCAACAAATGGATTGTGAGGTGCATTCTTCAATTTCAATTGCCTGGCTTTCGGCTGGATTCTCTTTTTTTTTGTACTGTGATTTTTAGGTTTAAAATGATGGAAATTTTAGGTATATGTATATTCCTCTTGGGGGATCTCAAAGAAAGCTGCTTAATATATGGGTTATATTCACATTTGTCGCCATCTGGCACGATTTAGAATGGTATGCCTGGCTTCAGTTGAAAATACTCTTCCTGCTACTTATCTCTTTCTTTGAAGAATGGCAAACTATACTGCCCAATTTGTGACTGCGTGTTTCCTTTGGTCTTAGGAAGCTTCTTTCATGGGCATGGTTGACATGTTTATTCTTTATTCCAGAATTGCTGGTGAAGTCAGCATCAAATACATTCCAGGTAATGCCTCTCCTGAATATCCTTAAGCAATTTTATTTTTTTAAAAAGAAAAGGATATAGATCTTCAAAGTACCCAGGAGTGCCAATTGAAGTTGATAAATAACTCTGTGGCAGAAATTTGGGGTAATTCTTGTGCTTCAGTTTTTGGTTGGCCAATTGAAGCCATGAGTCCTAACTATTCTTTCTTGAGCTCAAGGTCAAATTGTTTACTCTAGCAAATCACCTTTTTATAAGCATGGACGGGCTTCGTCTAGTGTTTTGTTTGGCATAAATAAACATTGAGACCAATACATTACTTCGATCTTCAACCGAGGATCACATATCATGATTCTTGTATACAACTAGATTGTTTGATTCTCTGCCCTATCATATACATGCATGAAAATAGTTATGTAAGACTTTTACTTTGAAAGTATTGCTTGCGCTGATGGTACTGATTATTATGACCTCTAAATTTAAATGTCAACTTTTTGCTTTTGTGGTGTCAGGTTGAGAATGCTTTTGGGGAATTCGTCTTCCGAGAACTCAGTGCTTTTGCTGGTGCCATCACAATTACATGTCTCATGGTCTGTTTACATTTAAACCGAGATAAAAGTAAATTTCAGTTCCCAGAACAAAAATATCCATGATAAAAGATGTATTTTTGAATGTAGTCCAGTGCACTTAATCTCAAGCAATTTATGTTCATAAAGTTTCTTGTTTTTGTTTTATCATGCATGAAACGTGCATGCTTTATGCAGGTTTCTCTCTTCCTATTTATATGCATGTTGTTATCTTCAGGTGTCACTAGGATTTGCGTACAGTGATTCTAACCTTTTCATTTGCAGGTTGCAAACCTTGTTGGCTATGTTATTGGACCATCGGGCATTAATTGGTTGATCTCTCAATTTCTTAGTAAAGAAGGTAGAAAGGCTTAGAAATTTTCAGTTTACTTAAAATTTAATCTTTTACATATACCTTCAGCTATCTATTAATATAACATTTTGTCTAATTGGACCATAGGTCTTATTTGGTTTATCTTCTTCTATACCTTCAGCTGTGTTAATAAACAATCATATGTTGCAGGGCTACCTATCCTCGGTGGTATGTTGATAAGCTTCTACGTGGGGACGAAGGTAAATTGCATACAAAATCAAAGCATTCTATGAATTTGGAGTAATTTGTCTACAATTTTTATCAGGGTAAGAGATACATGATTATTAATTTGTCTGAAACCTACGTGTTTGTGCAGCTCATGTTCCACATTCATGCAGCTAAGGAGAGAAGAAAGTGAAAGAAGTTTTTCATTTCACGTGGTTCAAGTTTCTTAGTTAATGTTAGGTTATGATTAGTGTTTAATTTCATGATATTGTCTAAGAGTATATGCGTGCCTGCATGGCATATCAATGTATTCCTTACATGGAAATTAGAGATGAACATGGCGTGTTGTATTTGCATAAAAGTTGGTTAAACATCCTCCATGACCATAAATCATGTAGAAGGCCCTTTGGAATTTCATTGGAACTGTCCTATTGTGGATTAGGAAGTGATGGAGATTGCTTGACGAAAAAGAGCATTTGGAGATGTCCTACTGTAATTTTATTGTTTATCCATCATTTTTTTGTCTTTTCCAGTTTTCTTTTTTTTTTTTTTTGGATGTATTTGAAACTCTCATCCCTTTGGGTTAATAAATTATTGTAAATGACGAAGTATGGATGATTGATTGAATCACATACCTGATAATATTTGTTAGGTTACTTGCATATCATACAATTAATTAAGATACATCAAAGGGTGGATGTTTCAACTTCTTCATGATTCAAAATAGAATCAGAAACAATTTTGAAAAATTGAGTATTGACATGTTTTGCTAATGAAATTAGTAAAAGAGTAATTATGTTTTAAAAGATACCATAAAGTTAGTCAATTGGATAAACTATTAAGGTCAACGGAGCTATTTGGCTATCTTGTCTTTATAAATAAGTGATTGATGCTTTAACTACTATTTGTTGCCTAATTTATGCCAAAAACATGAACCAAAAATGGAAATGAGTAAGACAACTCCAACTGATAAAAGAAAGAATTAATCCCAGTTAGATAGATAAAGAGAAGAAGAGAATGATGTAAAGACCAGAAAAATTGAGCGGATGCCCTTCAACTTGAAATGTTTATGTACCGAAGGAAGGAACAAATTGTGGATTCTTTATGGTTTTCTAAACAATTTTGTATCATTCAAGCACCCAATAATTTACTCTCAAAGTCCTGTAATCTTATGGCGGATAAAAGAAGAACCATATAAGACCATAATTAGGTAAACATGCACATACGACAGTCAAAAACATTATATTTGTAAACGAGTAGTCTTCATATAAAAAATGCTAAGGTTTTCTCATGGCAAGAAGAGATGTCCCAACTTGCTTAATTATATCCTTAGTATGAATTCAATTTTAAAAAAAAAAAATTCAAGCAAAATCAGGAGTTAGGAGACGTTACTTATTTATTTTTTTTTTATGAATACTAATTTTTACATTAAATGAATATGACATATTATAACCAACAGATCTAACATCATGCTGTAATACATTTAATTCATTAAGTATTCTTATCACTCTATTACACTAAATATATACCTAAAAAAATGAAAGAGTTTTATCCACTTGAGTCCTAAGATTGCATGTGACTTCATGGGTTTTTTTTTCCAGTTTGGGCCTCTATTTTTCTCACGAATTCCTCTTCTCTTTTCGAGAACACACTAAACATATTTTTCTTCTCGTTTTAGGCTTTTTCTTCTTGAACTTTCTGTTAAAAAAATGATTCAAAATTATAAAAATAATAAATTGTCGGTTCTGAGTAAAATTATAGATTAGTGATTATAAAAAATTAAAGTAAAATAATAAAAAGTTAAATCGCAATAAATGAATGGTTAAATAGCAATAAATAGACAAGTTTAATCATTGTCTATATATAGACCGTAGATTGTTATGTATATGCATCCCTTTTTGATTGAATAGAAATCTTTTATATTTTCTCTTTCAATAGTAGTGTCAGAAAAAGAAAAAAAAAAAATAGTAGTTGTTTTTTTTCTATAATAGCAGTAGACAGCCATAACATTAAAGAATAATTTATGTGCAATATGTAATCCTACATTGATAGTCAAAAAACTTTGTAGAAAAAAAAGGATCATCATGACTTCGAAGCAAGTACGGACAATTCTGCAAACAAAATTTTAAGACTCATTAAAAATAATAGTCGTGAAACTCCAAACTCTTTAACATGAGTTTGAAACTCCAATCATGAAAGACAATGAATCGGTACAAGAGTTTTTGTTTAGAACAATGACAATAGTTAGTCAAGTGAGTTTGGTTGGATAAGAACTTGATGAGACCAAAAAAAAAATGACAGTTAAGTTTGAAGATAATAAAAACATTCTAATTGAAAGAAAAGTTTGAATAAGTAGTAAATATATTCACAAAAGTACTTCTATGTCAGAAGTATGTCTACTTAAAATCACTACTTGGTATTTGCAATTTTGAATAAAGGAGAAATGTTGAAAAAATGATTTAAAATTATAAAATTCATAAATTATTGCGATAAATGAGTAGTTAAATAGCGATAAATAGACGAATTTATCACTGTCTCTTCCAATACTCTTCTTGACTACCTTTCTCTCTCTTCCAAAACTCTGTGAGCTGGAAGCCACCATTCTCTCTCTTTATAAGCTTTTCTTTCAACCTCCTCTCTCTTCATGTGCCTCCTTTCACCCTTCGTGTGCCTCCTTTCACGGCTTCAAGCTATGCCTTTTATAGATAGAGGAAGATAAGATATATTTGAAGATAAATAAAAATATTAGAAATACAATAAAATGTCTAATGATTGAAGAGAAGATGAACTCTATGGAACCACTAACATTGTTGAGTAGGAGAGATAGAGGTAGATTTGCGAATAAAATAATCATAAAATTACAATGTAGAAATAACTTAGAGACAAATTGAAGAGCGACATAGAATTTAGGTTAATGGAGTGCATAAACGTATCTTTTAACCTAACTTTTTAATAACAAAATTTGTTTTTTCGAATAACTTCTGAATTAATTTGTGCCATATAAAAATTTAATTATATTGATTATGTGAACGGTTTATTGAGTCAATTGATGCAATTAAATTTCATAATATATTTCACATTATAGTCATATTTTAATACTATTTCACTACAAGAATTTTTATAATCAAATTATATATATATATGAAAACTTATTTTACATATTATTAACTAATATTGTTAAACAACAATGTTTTTTTTTTTTAAAAGAGAGTCATGATAATGTAACATAAGTTAGAATTGATTTAAAAAATGTAAAGCTCATTTTTAGGTGTTATTAATCATAATCAATGCACTCGACCTAGACATGTTAACCTAGTGATTATATGTTTCAATATTTTTATTGAATATTTGAGTTCAAATCTTATATATATATATATATATATATATATAGAGAGAGAGAGAGAGAGAACCATCATCAATACACTCACATCCAACGGTGTACTTTTTTTTTAACGTAATTCCATTAAAAAAACTCCAACTGTATAATTTTAGGTATACCTTTTCATCCTTAAATTTTCTCAGTTAATATTTACATAACATATAGGTTTACAACATTTATATTACAATCTTCACAACTTGCAGGAGCAAACACTACTAAATTATGCTTTGAGTGGTTTTACGATAGTAAGTTTTGTTAAATTAAGGATTAAAAAAAATAATTTGATTTAGTTCAATGTACTATTTCACCCGAACTCCTCCACGTTCTCTACCTCCATAGCTATAGAGCTTTGACTCCCTGCTTTGGAGACTTTTCAGTTTAAGAATGACCTGCTCTGGTGCCGTTGCTCTGTTTTTTGAGTTTATGTCAAGATTTATAGAAGAAAATTTAAGGCTATAATAATACTGCATGCAGTTTTCTTCTTGTTTTTCTTTTTAATTTTTTTCCCTTTCATCTCTATTAGACTGAAATAAGAGATGGATCGAGTTCCCAAAACCTTTGCAAGAGATTCAACTATAGAATTATTGGTATTGATACTGATATTTAGTCCTGAGCTAAGCACAAAATTACTCCTATTTGTGGAAGAAAAATCCTATGAGATATAGTCAACCACAAAGGGAGGTTAGCTGAATAATATGTACTCTGCTTAAGCCTATTTGGGTTTAAAGTTTCACACCAGAGCTTTGTTTCTCGTATGGCAGATAGCTTTTCGCGTAAAGAAAAATTTAATAAATGAACATAGAGGTGAGGTGACCCAAAAAAGTATCAAAAGTTAATTCAATTTTTTAATCATTACTTTTTTTACCAAACAGTAACTAGCAGTCAATATTATTATTCAACTAAAATTTCAGTTTAAACTCATAATTTTACCAAACATTTCAAAATCTAAATCATATTAACTTAAAAATCCATTCAAACAAGCACAGAGAAAAAAAAAAAAAAAAAAAAAAAAAAAAAAAGGGGGGAAACAAATCCAAACTGCTTCTCAATATCTAAAAACTGTCGTCATTGGACCCAGACCAGGTGTAAGTTGGGATCGTCAGTACCGAAACAGAAAATATAATATTCCCCGACGACACCATGTCATCTCTTTCTTCGGCCTTGCCGTGTCGTTCACGGATGGTTTTTTGGTTGAGTATAGTTTTAATTGTTTTTAACATACATGATAATAGGATGCAGTGTTATTTTTAATATATTTTTTATTATTATTATTATTATTATTTTAAATGATTTTTTAATTATCTCCTAACTCAATAAATTTTATAAAAAATTTGACTTCTTTAACATTTTTTTAATCAATAATTTCTTCTGTAAAATTTTTTTCTTTTTTAATATTCACACGTCCGTATTATTATTTATCCTTTCCCCCCCTCTCTCCTCCCTCCTCATCTCCCGTTACCTTGAAAACAGAGCACTATCTCCATTGTCACCTTTCGTCTTTCCAGTTTACGTCGTTACTATGTCTTCGATACTCGGCTCGCAAGGAGTGGTTCTAGCCACCGCCATGGCACTCTCCGGCACTGTAATTCTTCTCGCTTTTCGTCTTCAGAAGTCAATAATCACAACCCAGTTCCCCGTTTCTCAAATCTCCCAGTCTTCTCCCCCGCAAGTCCTCCGATCCTGCATCTCTTCTGGTATGTACACCACATATATGTGATTTTATTCTACCCGCTTAGTCTATTGGAGCAATTTGGACCTTAATTTTGCTAGCATGAACATGGGTTTTCTTTCTCTCTCCGGTTTTTCACCCGAAGAAGGGAAGAAGAGAGCAGGGATGGTGAAGAAGAAGTCGAAGAAGGTGCACTTCGCGGAGGATGTCGTGGATCCGAGGGGCGACGGCGAGGAATTCAGACGACGGCTGAAGAACAGAGCGAGTACCATAATCGGGTTGAATTCTCCTTCTTCTTTAAATTCAACGCCGAAATTCAAGAAGATCGGCGGCCTTAAAGACAGAGGAATGCCGGAAAACAGAGTCGCTCTCTACAGAGGAATTCTGAGAGATCGGGGCCTTCAGCGGATGGCCTGCTATTAAGTCAAGATTTTGATTTTCAATTTTATTTTTCTTGTAAATGTATATATATTTTTTAAAAAATTATGTAATTTTGTGTAGGAAGTTGGAAGTTGGGAAGAGAGACGGGGGCCTACGCACCGTTTTGGCGGTCCCCCCCACTGGGTAATGGGTTCAGTCTTTCTTAGATTCTGTTTTATGAAATGAATTTCTCTCTTTTTCTTTTTGATGTTTTAGTTTTATCTATTTTTTAACTTCTTTTCTTTTCTACTAATTAGTTTAAAAATTATGGTATATTTTCGTAACGGGAGTTGTTAGTGTAATGATTTTCAGTAAAAATAATTTTGATATTGTGTTTAATTAATTATATATATAAAAGTCGTAAAAAATAATTATAATCATTTAATTATTTTTATGTAATCATTAATTTTAAATTTTTATTATTATTTAAATTAAAAAATATTATAACAAATAAAATTTTATATTTTTATTTAAAAATATTAAATTAATGAACTAATAAAATATGAATATACTTGTCTCATACAACATAATTCTCATTTTCAACATATGTACTTTGAATTCTTGAATTTATTTTTTACTAAATATCAAAATCACAATTTAAACTAGTTGTTGTAAAAATTCAATCAAATAGACGTAGACATTTAATCATTTAAAATATTTTTAGAATAAGTAATACTTCAATTAATATATTAGACTAAATGAGTAATATTTTTTAAATAAAAATTTTATTATATAATTAAGAGCAGCTATAATAACTGAATGTATAAAAAGATATATTTATATTATTTACTATGCAGTGATTGTAGCTAATTTGTTATTTTTATTAGGAAATGAAGCAATGATGATGGGCAAATTGGTGGTGAAAAAGATTGAATAACTTGTCACTTTTTTATGTCACATTGTCTTGCATTTGTGTATGGTGATCAAAATTGGATCGCTTTGCAACTTGCAATTGCACTTTACTATTGAATTATTTATATGCTATATTGGGTTGTGTAAAAAGATTTGAGCTATAAATATTTATTATTTATTACGGACAAAGAATAAATTTTGATTAAATCGTATATTTATTTAATTCTTTTAGGTTAAGAATGTTTTATTAATTTTTTAAATTCTTTTGTTATAGTGTTAACTTTAATATTTATTATACATTATTTATTTATAATGTTTTAGTTGCATGGTTAGAAAAATCAGCAAAAATATGTCAAGTAATTTTATTTTTAAAATAGTCTCATATAATTATAACTTGGATAGAATAAATAACTCTATACATTAAAAATGAGAATCATAATTTAAAAATAATTATAAGAAAAAAAAAAAAAAAAAGGCAGACGATGAGTTTGAAGAATCATTGTTCAGCTAATGTGCCGACTTTTTTTTTTGGTTTGTCAGATGGTGAAGATATAAACATGATCACATGTAAATGGCCAGATGCATGTGGGGATTATGCTTTCTACCCCTGTCCAACCAACCTTAGAAAAAGACCAAGTTGGCTCGGGGCTTGCATGTTGCTTTATATTAAATTAAATGTGGTAATCCAACATGAGAGATCCTACCACAAGACATTTCAATTTTTACTATACATTTAAGGCGGTTTTTGAAAATGTCACGGGATCGCTGTTATTTAACAAATTCTCAACTAAATTACAAAAAACAAGAATATCTTTTGCCACGTCTTTTATTTTTATTATTGTATTTTCCTGCTTCCATTAGTTTTTTTTTTTTTTTTTTTTTTTTTGCATCTTTATAAATTATTAATAGTAACGAAGTTGATTTGACCACCAATTAATTAATTAATTAATCATTAATTCTTTTGCTGCAAGCCTCTGGTGGGTGTTGGCAAAGGCAAAGGCAAATAATAATAATAAACCACAAATGCCAAATAACAAGGAGTTTTTGGAAAAAAAGTAAAATAAAAGACATGATGGACAACTGAAAACATACGGTTGGGGGGGGGTTTATCTAGAAAAGAAAAAAGAAAACAAACACATGGTTGGGGGGTTACCTAATTTCTCATTTTATAATTATTAAAAGAAACGTAGGGTGGCCAATGAATTTTTTTTTTTTTTTTTGTAATTTTATTTTACAACATGTGTTTTTTATTTTTATTTTTTTATTTTTTATACTTATATAAGTAAATAAGTTACATAACTAAATTTATAATCTCATAAATATTTTAATTAAAAAAATAAAAATAACTAGTGACATCACTTGACACTAAATTACATTAAATCATCACCCAACCAATTGGTATAAACAACATAATTAATAATATAATTTATTAATTAAATAAACCAAAATTCATCGAACTTTTACGCACTTTGCATGATTAAATTATTATTTTGAAACTCATACAAATTAAATATGAGCATAATAAAAGACATAAACCCACTCTTCAATTTATTTACAAGTCTTATATGTGATTCAAACAAAATATATATATATATATATATATATTTTAAAAAAAAAAAAAAAAAAAAAAAGGAAAACAAATTACATCATTACGAACCAATCAAGCTCAAAAGTGTAAGGTATCCTTATCTCTAAACTGCCCAATTATTATTAATGATCATAAAAGTTAAGATTAATGGTTGAAGGAAGACAAGTCCTGCTGCCACACACTATGCATTACAATTCTTTAATTAACCCCACATGACTGCCATTAAACTAAGTGAAAGGTGTTGTCATCATTTGATTGCTTGGACTTGAGAAATTGGAAAAACTATTACTTTCTCATTTGCTCAATAATGCATACAAGAATTCTAAAGGGGGGAGAAGTAAAAGATTAATTATTGGATAGCAAAAGCGTTTGCTCTTTTTTATTCATTAAATACACGGACCACTCAAGAGAGTTGGTGACATCAGTAGTGAAGACTAGAAAGCTGGTCTTAATTATAACGATTTGCACGTCATGTATGCTTTTACTTTTAATTGAATTTGAATGTTTGTGGATTATGGATGTTTATGTCACGCTTCATTCTTTATTATTATAAAAATAAAAATTAAAAAAAAAAAAAAAAAAAAAAAGACTACAAGTATAATTATTGAGTGGTTTGCTAACATTACGGCAGATACCGCACTTGTAATAAATTTAAATTTTATGTTTAGACTATTTTTTTCTCTATATCCCAACGTAAAATTCCTATATAAAACTGTAGATAAACTAGTAGTAGTAAAAATATCAACGACGGACCTAATGGATTGTTGGGCCATTTGGATTCATATCCGATCCCTTTTTTTTCCGACTCCCACCCAAAACAGATCACAGATGTACATAGTTGGGCCCGGCCCAACGTAAGGATTGGAGCTTAAGTTATTGCTCAATACAAAATAGTTTAGTTTAATTTTTTTAAAAAAATATATTTTAATGATATACATGGTTTTATTAATAGCTTTGCTCTTTTCTAATAACAAACCTCTTTTTTTTAAAAAAAAAAAACTGAAAACCCATTATTTATTTAGAGTTTATAAATCAAATAAAAATATACTGACCAAATACATTTAAGTTCATAAGCTTAATTAACTTTATATAAGTCTTACATGAAACTAAAAAAACCAAACAAAACCATTTTGTATTATAAACTAAAACACACAACGTGACCGACTTACAGGACACAAACCCATTATCAGGCCCGTAGTCGTGGCCCGGCCGCGCAGCCTGTAAACAACCCTAGACCCTAATCACCTCCTTCTCGTACATCTCGCAACACTTCGTCTGCTACTGAGAGAGATCGACTCTTGCTTGCCGAAACACAATCATGGTGAATGTTTCCTTTTATCGAAACTGTAAGTTCATATTTCTCTTTCCTGCACTCCTCCTGTCTTCTCGTTTTCCTACTTTTGATCTGTGCTTTCAATCCTGAACAAAAATGCAGATGGAAAGACGTTCAAGAAGCCCCGCCGCCCTTACGAGAAGGAGCGTTTGGATGCCGAGCTGAAGCTGGTGGGAGAGTACGGCCTGCGTTGCAAGCGAGAGTTATGGAGGGTTCAGTACGCTCTTAGCCGTATCCGAAACGCCGCGAGGGAGCTGCTTACCTTGGATGAGAAGAATCCGCGCCGGATCTTTGAAGGTGAGGCTCTTCTCCGTAGGATGAACCGCTATGGACTTTTGGATGAGAGCCAGAACAAGCTAGATTATGTCTTGGCGTTGACTGTTGAGAACTTCCTTGAGCGCCGTTTGCAGACCCTTGTCTTCAAGTCGGGTATGGCGAAGTCCATTCATCATGCCAGAGTGCTTATTAGGCAGAAGCATATCAGGTGAAGCTATCTAATTTGGTGCCTATTGTAGCAGCCTTTTATTTTATTCTCTTCTGCTATATTTGTTTGCGAGTTTTACTTCTGTAGTTCGGATCACGTACAACTTCAAATGCATTTTTCCAGGAAACAACTAAGCCTTAACTTCTTTTTTTTTTTTGAAATAACAACCAAGCCTTAACTTGCCATAAGATGTAATTTGAAAGGCTCTTTTCCAATGGAAACTTTGTGGGAACTTGTTAGTTTTCGTAAGGCTTCAACATTTCCAATGCCATTGTAATTCTTGCAAAACAGTTGTCCGGTTAGTTTTGGGAGAGTGGATATTGTTGCATTCTTGAAGGATGTCATTGGCTGTTATGCATATAGCTTTCACTATGGCACTTTAGGTCTCCATAGGGAGAAATATATGGGATTAATGTTATTCTGGTGATACTATTTAAGAATAATATACTTCTTTCTATAAAAGGAACAACTTGTCTACTATATGAGTCTGAAATTGTTGTTTTAGTTTATTTTATTAAAGTCAGTCTTCTAAGACCTGGACAAGTGGATTAATGAAATCCCCGATTCCTTTGGTGCATTTTTTCTTTTATGTTTACCACAGTATTTTCCTCTTTCTCCTTTTCATCTCCTGCATATATGCAAAGCCAACAAGTGGATTGATGAAAAAGTCTCCAGTCTTGTATCAATGACCTGCTTCACCCTGATAATGTTCTATTTGTTTTCTACCACTTGCCAGTTAGTTCTGTTTCTTTAATTGGTTATTTCTTTTTTGCTTAATATACATGGTAATTTCTATGGCGATTTGGTACTTCTGTTGCCAACGAGAAACTTAAGCATAATGTGGATGTATTTCTTACACACATAACGAGTTTCCTATAAGAAAACATGTTATTTCTGACACACAGGTTTACCTTGGTTTGACAGGGTTGGAAGACAGGTTGTGAACATTCCCTCTTTCATTGTGAGGGTTGATTCACAGAAACACATTGATTTCTCACTCACAAGTCCCTTTGGCGGTGGTCGTCCTGGAAGGGTGAAGAGAAAGAACATGAGAGCAGCTGCTAAGAAGGCTGCTGGTGGTGATGGAGATGAAGAAGAGGAGGAATGAGCCAGGTTTTGATGTTTTGCTATAGTTAGTTGGAGTTTGCCCATTCATTTAGTTTTCACAACTCTATCGGTCTAGTTTTTTTAAAAAAAAAAAAATTTAATTGTTTGGAGAAGTCTTTGTTGATCTTGAAATCTTTGGAGAAGTTTTTGTTGCTAAATGTTTTGGACACCATGCAATATGAAGAAATCTATTATATTGACTTAAATTGCATTAAACTCTCGATATTATCCCTTTGTATTTGGTTTTCTTTTTGAAGTGAAGAAAGGAGCAGAAACTAACATGGTGGCTAATGTATAAATTATCAAGCAATTTATTACTGAAGCACCTGGGAATTGGGATTTGTAGGTATCCATATTCCAAGTAGAGTTGGACATTTGACCTGGGATTTATAGATATTTGATTGTCTCCCCCTGAATGGAAACAAGGTTTTGGGAGGAATCTATCCCCTCTCAAGTCTCAATTCTGATGTATATAGGATATGGAATAATAAAATATATTATAACTAAACAACGGCTGGTTAAACACTATGCCAATTACATATTTCCCATACAAATCCGTCTGGAAAGCTAATGCTCTTCCCAAGATTGCATTCTTTGCAATATTGGAAGCTGTTAATGTAATAATCAAGATCTGTGAGGGAGGGTGAGATGAACGGTTAGGATGAGGTGGGCGAAATCAACAATTGTGATGTGGAGTTGAGATAGGTATAAAAAGGGGGGCGTCGGGCAGAGAGAGGTAGGGAGAAGAAGAAAGAAAAGAAAGGGAAAACAAAGAGTGCAAGAGTGAGAGAGGGAGACGATTGCGAGAGAGGCAATAATCGAAGGTGAGTGCAGAAGGAGAACTGCTCGGAAGTTTGGGAAGAAGGTGAGGTTGCGGTAGCTTTGGGAGATAGAGGAGGAGGGAAGCAAGAGGTAAGAGAAATTTGGAGTTTCTAAACTAATTTAGGGCAAACCTCTGCGAGATTTGGTATGCAAGTTAATAGAGGTGCTCCTCGTCAAGGAGATGGAAGTCAAGGCGTGATATTAGATGAGGAAGCGCAAGAGTAGCCGAGGTCTGAGAAAGGAGAGGGAGGAGGCTGTAGAGAGGAGTGTACGTGTGGACAGTCAGTAGAGAGAGGGAGAGGAATGAAGGGGAAGTGTCGTGAGGACAGGAACGGAGCTTGTGGATGATGAGTTATGTGTAACTGAGGGGTGAGGTAACTCTGAGAGTGGAATGCATTGTTGTATAAGTATAAGTATATGGATGATTGGTGGCGAGTGTAGGTTCAGTTGTGTGTGTAGGGCTACTTACCGAGGGTGACACCTTCTGTTATGCAGGGATGGTGGCTCGTGGGCCGTATGTGTGAAACGGTAGGTGGAGTGAGGTTTACGTGATACAGTGGGGACGTTGGGCACTCTGTGGTGTGTGTATGTATAGGTATTTAAGTGTGGGAGACCTCTTGGCCGGTGTTTGTGGATTTTGGTATACTGGTGTGGAAATCAGTGGCACGTTGTGTGCGCGTGTGTGAGTTGTGTAAGGTCTTTGGCCGATGCTTGCAAACATGGATGTGCCGATATTAGTAGTGACATGTTGTATTTATGGCCACTCAGTGGTCGATGAGGCACTCCCCTATTCAAGTGTGTGGGAGGCCATTTGGCTTACATTGGTGGAGTTCGGTGAGGCCATTCAGTGGTAGTTGCCACGGGAATAGTGGTGTGTATTTGATGTTGTGGGTGGTAGTACACGGGGCCATGTAACAGTCGATATGAGAATTGTGTTTACTGTTGGGGTGGGGCCCCAAGAGGCAGCAAGGGTGTGCGTGTGTGGTCTTGGTGGATCGGTGTTTGTTGAGAGGGTGTATGAGTGTGGTATAGTGATTGTCAGAATGGTGTCGAGTTGGTAAGGTGTTGTGGTTAAAACAAAAGGAGTAGAGTGCAGGTCCGTTATGTGGTTGGGAGAAGGAAGAGCTAACGGTAAGGAGTTAGATGGGATTAGGAGGGATTAATGTTGTTATTTAATAGTTATCAAGGGAGGAAAACTAAATGAAAGAGAAGGAAAATGATAGTAAGGAAAGTGGTCATTTAATTGTCATTCATTAGTTTTAGTTCCAAATTTTATCTCATTTCAGATGCTTTGAGGCAGGAACCGAAAATGGGGAGCTTAGCAACGAAGCATCGAGCTTCGGAGTAGTAAGATATTATCAATCATAATGAGATATAGTAGTACACTTACAATATTCGGATAGTGTTGGAACTTCTATGTATAGGGGTGTCACAGTTAAAAGAGAAAATTTTGGCCAACAGATATTTCCTTTGATTAAAATCATGCTGAGAGCTGCAATCATATTCTTCTTTGGTGCTTTCTTATTGCTAATCTGAGACACATGGTCTATAGTCTGATTGACATTAATTGGGTCGTGACCAACCCTGTTTATAATGAGATTTTGGATTGAGAGGGTTTAGTTTTTAACAATTATGCAACTCCGTTGATCTTTTTAACAATCTTTTGGATTATTTGGAAAGAAAGAAATATTGAAATTTTTTAAGACATTGAAGATATTTTTGTAAATATTAAGGATAAATAGTTAAATTATTTTGAATCTATACTTTTGGGGCATAGTTGTTTTTTATATGTAAATTTTTTGTACTTAGATTACTCTTTAATACTTTTTTTTAATACATTTTTTAATTTTTATCTGAAAAAAAATATATTACTCATTTAAGTTCAATGAGTTCAAATGAAAAATGGAGTTGGATCAAATTAAAGATGACAATGTATTAATTCAAACTTTAATTGCATGTGAATAAAATGAGAATATAATATATAGAATCAAAATAATTTTTTAATGTCTTTAAACTATATATCGTATTATGAACAAATTATATAATTATTTATATTATTTTTTAACTTATAATATTTTGCTCATGTTAAAATTTTAATTAGACAATTAGTGTAATTTTTAATTTAAAAAAATTATTTTAATTTTACAGTATATGAAAGTATAGCATCACCTCTATGTTTTCTTTTTCTAGCTATTCAGCAAAAACAAAATTTATCAAGCATTTTTAACTTGGTAAAATTTTGAATTAGATAGTTATTAAAATTTTTATTTACACGATTTTTAATTCAATAAAATTTTTAGGTAATTACATTGCCATTATAATATTCTCTTTTTGAATTATAATATTCTCATTAAATATAATTTTAATTACATACTTTATTTATTTTCCTTTTTTTATAAAAAATGTTTTTAATTAAAACATAATTAATTAGACAAACGATAAAATTAAAATAGTTATGTCTTGAATTAAATAATAATATAATTACGACACTTCAATTAAATTTAAATAAAACATTTTAGTTAACAATTTTTAATTTATGTCAATTTTAATTTAAATTCTAATAATAATTCCGATGGTTTAATTGATAGTTTTAAGTTCTAGTACACATCCCAATTGATAGCTTTAAGTTATAATATGCATCTCATTCAATAGGTAAAATTATTTTTTAATCATTTTCAGAATATCTAAACAAAGATCTAATTATTTTAATTTTTTAATATAAAATAAAAAATAACTGGATCAAATGAAAAATGTTAAAGATAAAATTTGTAACAAAACTAAATATTAGGAATTAAATTGTACCAAGTGTCAAGTTTTAAAAATTTATTAAATAGTTCATTCTATTTCCTCTAAATTTTTATATAGATAATTAATTAAGTTTTTAATTAAATATTTTAAATTTATATAATTTTTAATTCAATAATTAATATAATTTTTAATTAAAAATTGTGATTTAATTAACCGAATCCAACCTTTAATATGATTTTTACCTTAGACATTTGGTTAAATTTTAAATTAAACTATATTTATTTTATTACAATTTTGAAGTAAACAAATAGTCTAATTAAAATAGTTTTATTTCTTAATTTTAATTAAATTAAACTATATTTATTCTATTGCTCAAATTAAATTGAAGTTAAATATTTATGTTTACTATACTTGTACATTAAATATATAAGTTACAGAATATTTATATATATGAAATAAAATATAATAAATTGAAATCAAACATTAAATTATAGATTAAAAATTTTAGGACTTTAAATTTATCTAAAATTTTAAGGTTAAAAGTCTAGATGATGTAAAAATATTTTAAATTACTCAAATAACTAGATTTTTATTTAAAAAATAAATAGTTTATTTGAAGAAAGTAATATTTATAAATAAAACATATTTGATATAAAATAATCAAAATATCTATTACAAAATTTTATAATTTAAAATATCAAAAGTAATTAAGTAAATTGTTAAAAACTTAATAATATAATGCTTAGTTTGTAAACTATTCAAAAAGTCGTAAGAATTTAGTAAACACCTTATTATCTTTTTTTTTTTAAAAAAACATCAATACTGCTTGACCCGGCCCGACCGTGGGTACTGTCTGGACGGGCCATCGGGATGAGCATAGCGGCCTGAAAACAACCCTAAACCCTCAGTGGAAAGCACAAGCATTCGCTGATTTGCGTCGAAGGAGAAACTTGAAAAAGTCGAAAGTTCAGGGTCAGGCCATTAGCAATCGCAACTGAAATTACTTATTGTATTGCCGTTTACTATAAAACTTTCCTGGATTTTGTCACTTGCTTTGTGTTTTTACCTTCTGTTTCTGCTTGATCCTCAAAACTCAATCTTATGAATATAGATCTTGCATCTGCTAGGTTTATTTCTTTTTTTTTTTCCTTTCATCAAACCAATGGAGTTTCGCAGCTTTTAACCAGACGGGCATGGAGTTCTTTATGCAGGATTTATTAAAGTGATTGGTACTCTCTGATTATCGATGTTTATGGAAATTTAAATATTCAAGTATAACTGAAGCTTTGAAAAAACTTTGGGAGTTAAGGCCGCTATTGTTGGTTTTGATTATGAGTTTTAACAGCTGAGCTGTATAGATTTTGTAGTCTGTAGACTGAAGCTTAGCTTGATCTTGTTGCAGTGAAATTTCCGTTGTATTTCATGGTCAGTAGAAACGTTATATGCTTAATGAGTCATTTTGAATAGGAAAGGAACTTACGAAAAGAAAAGGGGAAACAAGGGAAGGAAAAGATGTGCAATTCGTTGTGCAAAATAATCTTCTTCTTTTAGGTTATGTTTGGAACAAGTCGGAAATGCATTGGAATTTATGCAAATTTATGCTTTAATTAGGAGATTATGTAAGTTCTGTTGGAAGATAATAAAGTTTCACATGGAATGATAAAAATGCATTTTATGTCATATAAATTTTGTCAGAATTTTTTTTTTTGAAAATTAAATATCAGTTTGACAGAATTTAGAATGTATTTTCTGTGTTCTATTTGAATTTCTATATAAGATCAAATTAAAAAGAAGTTTTGCCATTTGCTAGTTGCACTAAGTCTGTATTTACAAATAAAAACCATAAATTTTTTAGATTTGTTACCGACATGGCCTTAGAGAAAATGCAAGGTTCATCTTACAAGTTATTATAATCCACTAGGTGTTTGAATCTAGTGTGAGTTATGAGACTAATTGTCGTTTAATATTGATTTTGTACTCTTTCTTCTTTGTCACTATTGACAGAGTACATTCCAATATATTTATTGTTTCAGGTACTGGTTTTAGCTTTTAGATGTTTGAAGCACTAGTTTGGGTTTAAATAGTTAAAGCTCTTTCATTTTTGGAAAATGGAAAGAAAATTTAATGGCTTCTTGGTTTGGATTGCATAGGAGAAATAATGAAGGTGCGATCATCAGTGAAAAAGATGTGTGAGTTTTGTAGAACTGTTAAACGGCGAGGACGTGTCTATGTACTTTGCACTTCCAATCCTAAGCACAAGCAACGACAGGGAATGTCGACGTTTGCAAATGAAGAAGCTATGCCTTCCATGTATGTGAACTTCTGTTCTCTCCATCTTATCATTGTCAATTCTTGCTGCAAATCTCAGCTGAATCAATAAAACATGTTGGAATTTGTTTGCCAGATTTTTCATTTGTCTTTTTGCCAAGTGGTACTGCATGGCCATAATGAAGGCAATACAGTCAATGCATGTGAAATTTCTCTGCTAAAGCTTTAGCATATAGAATATGTGCTTTGTGATGAATATATAAAATTAGGGTTTTGGTACTTCTAACCTTACACATAAATGAGAGCTACCTTTTTTGTTATAATCCTGGCGGATAGATTGAAGTATTACCCCTTGGTTAAAAGCAGGGTTATCTGCCCTTTATCAGGCAATGCTTTGCGTAAGTTGCATATTCTTTATTAAAAAATAATGTTTTCACGAACTTCATCCCAGATTGATATGCATCATTTGGTGATTCCATCTAGCGTTTGGTATTAATTCCTGGATACAGATGTCTTGTTGTTGGTCAGTTCCAGTTCTTGTATATTGTAACTTTGTTTTCCGCAAACTCACCAGAACCTCATGTAAGTAGAAAGCATTCTAGTATTTACTCGAGGAAAAACAATTATTGACAAGCTTGAAACTACATTGGCTTCTAGATTGCATATAGTAGGTACATAACCCTTTTGAAAAGAACAAAGCATTCCAGTTTCAGTTTGGTGTTACTTGCAAGCTTGAAACTCCACTGGCTTACAGAAAATCCATATAATAGGTAGATATTCTTGAAGAAGACTGTGCAACTGAACTTCAAGATGGAAAATTCATTAACTTGCTTGCCGGCATCTTAACAGGTCCTCAGAATCTAGTGTCAAGCCAGAGGCTGTGCCAACTCACAGCTTGCGAGGAGGTTTTACGTCCTTAATACCCGAAAAACTAGAGCCTTCAATGATGTTCGGATGGAGGGTTGGGCTGGCATCTTTCTTATTCAAACAGCGGAATTAGCACTACAATGTGAAATACAGTTGAGACAGTAACGATCAACTGATCATATAGTGCTAAACTCAGATCTTCTTTGAAGTATGGTCCAGTATGCCGTATTAGTTTACCTACCTTGCTGAGGTACAGTTTTATGATGCTTGGAATACCCAGTAGCCTTGACATTTTTTTGGTTACTACAAGTCTATAACATTGTTAGAATTCACTTGATAAGGAAGGAGCCAGAAAAAACTGGCAAGTTGTCAGTTGCATTTCATTTCAGTTTTCATTCTTGTCAAAGAAATGAAATTTCACCTGCTGACTTTTCTTCATAGGGAAGGTTAGAGTGGCAGGTATTAACCTTGAGGATTAGTTTTCTTGAGGTCTACCAGAAAATCTGGTATAGTGTTGTGAACTCCTATGGCTTGAAGGCAAATGAGAAGTCAAGCTCACATGTAAGAGGACCCCTCAAATTCGAAGGACAAAACATTCTAGAGCTCTTGAGAGATGAACCCTAGGAATCCATACAAAAATGGCTCACTTGCCACACTACTCTTTTACATCGGTCACCAATCTAATATAATGTTTTCAACATTCAACGAATTGGGTTCGTTTTTATCAGTACTTGTGGTTAATATAACATTATTATTTTGCACAGATAGCAGTTTGAATTTTTTTTTAAAAAAATTTATCATATAAACAACAAATAGAGTCCGTCTATTATACGTAGACTAAAAAATATTGACTAACAGACAGTTTGATCCATATCTAATATTAGAGTGCATGCAATAACTGTTAAAAATATTTTCTAGTAAGTGAGGTCTAACCTCAGGTGAGACAAGAAGGTGCTTCACTGCTCTTATCACAGAGGTTTTGAGAATTTAAGAGAATATCATATCAAACTAAAGTTGTATATAGAAGAAAGAATAACTTCAGATTATTTTGATTCAACCCTCTCTCTCTCTCTCTTTTTTTTTTTTTTTTAATTTAAAATGTATAATTTAGTTTTTTTGGATATCAACTAAAATAATCACATAATATTCGTACTTTTTTTTTAATCTTTTTATTTTTTGTGCTGTTCGAGACTAGTCTTTAATTCCATAAATTTTCTCAAAAATATATTATTTATCACAACTTGCTAATAATAATTCGTTAAAAATTAGTCATATTAAAGTTATGGTGCCATCATTTGCTGTAACCAAAATATTTGTGAGATCGGAACACAATTTCTATGGGACTAAAGAAGTTGTTGGAATTCCTGTAGTGATGATACCTTCTTGGAGAAATTTTTAAAATTCATATTTTGTTTATGTATTCAAGCTAATTTTATTATATTGTTTGACTAATATTTGGGTGGTGGGTATGTAATTAGGCAGTGAAATATTTACCTTCTCAGAATTATGTTGAAGCCAAGTTAGTAAAATTCAATAATGTCAATATTTTTCTATTTTATAGTAACTTTATTGGAAATAGTTTAATTATAAACAAATATAAAACCGCATTGTTTCCTTTTGTATTTGTTTAGTTTTAGTTTTTTTAATGTTATATCATAATTTTAATTTTAATTTTAAATTACACTCGGTACTTTTATATATTCAAACTTTTTGTGTTATAAGTTCAAATTAATCCCTGGAGCGCGGGTTTAAGCCTTATGATTAACAATAATAATAATAATATTAATAATAATCAAACAAAAAAATAAATCCAGTTGAGGCGATTTTCCATTTTGCCCGCCACGTCGTGCCGTTTCGATGTCAGTTGTTGACCCAAAAGTTAAATGCGTCGGAGTCGCCAGTAACCCACCAATTATTATCATCGCTACTAGTCGCTAACTCGCCAACAAGCTAATAGATGATTCTGTAAAAAAACGCCATCCCTCTCAGAATCCAACAGTTTCAGTTCCATGGAATTTAATTCGCCTCCTGTTTCTGATTTCTAACTGCTTCCCCATCTTTCTTTATTAATTAATTCTTATTGATCTGTACAGAATTGGATTCCATTTTCTTCCATGAACTTGTTTCTCAAACTTCCTTTTACTCGAACCCATCTTCACTCTCTTGAAATTTGACCCTAAGTTCCTGTAATTCTAAGTAGATGTTTAACGTCTGCTGATTGGTTCTTTTATTATTATCATCATCATCTTCTTCTTCTTCCATTTGGCGAGAGAGAAAAAGAAGTTATGATGACAATAAACGGTTCGATTACTGCTTGGATCAGTCACTTCCTTGCTTGCATGGGGTAAGTCTTCGATTTCGTTTTTATAGTCAATTCATTTATTTCCTGCAAGTATTCTCCAATTAAGAATCTAAAGAAAAAGGTAACTCAAAATTCTAATTTTAATTTACTCGCTTCAATTAGGTATCACTTCACTGTTAACAAACATTTATTTTCTTTTCTTTTGTGTGTTGATGTGGGGAAAGACGGCGTTGAGAGTAAGGACTTTGACCTTTGCGGTAATATAGACATATATTTTCTTTCTGTTCTGGCCACTGTTGAAATCCATCGACGATTGGATATTCCTTTTGCTATTAATGGAAAGTATAACATAATTATCAAGCATTCAAGATACTGGACTTTCCAGCAAATTAACTAATCAATTTATTCGTTTCTTCCATATGATCTTTGAAATTGAAACCTGTGTGTGTTGAATGTCATAACAACCTAGCATATTGGTGCCTTGGATTCGCCTCCTGTGTTTGTGAACCTTCGTTAATCAACCAGCTTTGGTTAAGAAAGCTCTAAGTGAGCTTCACGAAGGTTGGTGCTATGAGCATATACATGCTTTTGTGAATCAAAGAAGAAAAAAGATATAGACAAAATGATTATACCTTAGCTAATGCAAGAATTCGCACGACGAAGCTTATATCGTTGGGTGAAGTTGCCCTCTCCTAGTGAATTGCTTGACTCGCCTTCCGGTTTCGACATAAGATTTTCTTTGAGATAGCCAGTATCTCCTAGTGCAGTAGGTGTCACAGGAGGAAGACAAGCATACTGATTTTGTTCAGAGATGAGGAAGGAGCATCCCAATAACTTGCGGTCACATACAAGGGGTTTGTCTAGTTTACGAAGTGAGTTAGCTGTGACTAATGACGGAGTTTGAATGTATTCTTGGTCAGGTTCGGTCTTAAGAATTTGTCTATTTCTATGAAACCTTTGGAGAATGATTAGAGATGGATGCTTCAGAACTTAATCACTAGAATCCTTATTTTTATTCTAAATTCTGTGGCTCCTTTGATGTTCTCACTTTTCAGCATTGCCCATTTACAAGAAACTTTAGTAAATAACAAAATATAACATTTGGGCTAGAGTGTTAAGTTGGTAACTTCTTTTCTTTGTAATGGATTCCGAAGTAAGAAAAGGTAACAAATCAAGTTCACTGATCCACTTAATGTATTGTTGATGTAGTAATTAGTAGTGGGGCTGCATAACTACTGCAATTGAGTGATGCATTGCTGGTTATAGTACGGAGATGATAAAATTCAAAATAAAAAGAAGATGATGAAAATAAATACCATACTTTTTTTCTGGAAAGTCAAAAGTTCTTCCTGTTGCATGTACTGAACTATGGAATGAATGTTTTACGCACTTATATCACATCCATACACACGGTTTAACCTGTCTTAGAACAGTGCAGTGGTTGTTTTGGATGTTGCACAAAACCAGCACCGATTATTGCTGTTGACGAGCCATCAAAGGGATTGAGGATTCAAGGCCGAATAGTGAAGAAGCCTAGCATGTCAGATGGTTTTTGGAGCACCAGCACGTGTGATCTAGACAACAGTACTGTTCAGTCTCAAAGAAGCATGTCGTCTATCAGCATATCAAACCAGCCGTTCAGTCATTGCAGCAGCACTATTGGAATAAACAGCAATTCTGACTTTGTGAATCACGGCAAGTTTTGTCATATGAAAATCTCTATTTTATTATTAGGGGTCGAAAGTATGTGTGCCGCCCCATCTTAAGGTGGATTGATTTTTCCATCATTTTCGTGTAATAACTAGATTTGAAGGGATTGTTTCATTTTCTTTTTCCTTTTTCGTTAATAGCTAGTTGACATTTGATGGTTTACTGTAATTTTAAGTCACAATTGACAACATTTCCTCTTCATGTTCTTTTAATTTCTTTCATTTTTAAGATTTTGTGCACTGAAATTTTGGTCGGGTTGCAGGTCTTCTTTTCTGGACTCAGAGCAGGCTTCAATGGACTCGAAATAGCAGGGCAAGGAACCAAACTCCGCAGAGATGGGAAAGCAATCTAGGGTGTGGTTTTCTACTTGTTCATTGGTTCTTTTTATGTTTGTAAAAGTAACGGGGAAGTTAGTTCATTCTTAAGTATTATTTAGTGATAAACATGTATAATTTGTTGATGTTCACAGTTATAATGGAAGTTATGAAAGTTTACTTGGAACCAGAAACCGATATCCTCAACCCATTCCGCTCTCTGTAAGTTTTCTGTGAAATCTGGGAGCTGCTCGGTTTTGATATTGCATTTCATGTTGGTTGAAAAGTTGGCTAATTGAGGTTTGAGTTTCAGGAAATGGTTGACTTTCTGGTGGACATATGGGAACAGGAGGGTTTGTATGATTGAAGAAGAGAAGGTGGACGGTGTCTGTTTTCTTTCTCACATATGGCTCTTCCATTTTCGGATATTGCTTGAGATTCTCTAGGGTTGTTGTATATTGCTTTGGGGCTGAAGGAAAATTATCAACTAATTTTTTCTCTTATCAACTGTTCTTCTTCTTGTATAATTCCATATCAAATAGAGAAGCTGCTTATTGTATCTTGATTGGAAGCTAAAGTATAAATTATTATACTTTTGGAGGTGGTAAAATGGATTGGGTGGATAGGCCCGGCGCCTGATGGGCTGGAGCAGAGCACAGAACAGGTTTTAGAATTGTGTGTGTGTTGTTATGTTCGAAATAAATAAATTTTATATAAAAATTGTGAGTTTATTTATAAAAGAATGGGAGTATAAGAAGGTATTTTTTTTTATTAAGTTTTATATATAAAAAATTTAAAAATTTTATATAAACATTGTGAGATTTTTATTGAGGAAAAGAAAAAAAAAAAAAATAGCTATGTAAATTATTTTTCTCTTTTAGGGTATTACTAATAAAAATTTATAAGTGATGCGCATAATTTTGACATATATTTTTAATAAATAAAAAAATTGAATTAAAATACTTTCAAATTTGACTGTAGATTTAATGATATAATTATTTTATTAAAAATGAAACCAGTCATATTTTCTTCCATCACAATAGAAATTTTTTTTTATCATTATATTTAAAATTAAAATAAACTAGAAGTTTTGACAACAGATTATCATTTAGTTCCTTGAGCAAAAAGGAAAGATGTGGAAAAAAAAAACCAGAAATACATTGAAGAAAACGTGAGAGGTAACAAATGAGTAGCAGGTTCAATGAAACTTAAGATAGGGTCTGTGTTGAAGAATCAATGCGCGCACACACACACACATGTATGTATATATATATATATATATATATATATATATATATGAGAAGGAAGTAGTCAAAATGTAGAAAGAATGAAGCACACGTGTTCCTCTAAACGAAACCCAGAAAGCTTATTCTGTACCTACTACTACATCTTTCATTTTGTGGCGATTAAAACACCAAATTTGAAAATGGTTTTATTTGCGGGGGGGACGACAAATTAAGAGCTCCATGAATCACAACAATGACCTGCCACCAGTCACCAGCCTAATTCTTACTGGGTTTTCCGCATCATTCAACTCATCTCCGTGTACACGGAATTTAAAGCAAAATTCTTACATATGCATTCAATTAATTTAGACCGGTTCGACTTAAAACTAAAATAAATTGAATTAAATAACAAAAGAATTATGTCATTTCTTCGTCCATATCCAGACATGCAGGTCGTATGCTCACTTCAATAAGTCTACACTTTTTTTTATTAATACTCAAAAATCGTTACTAATCAAACGAAAGAAAATAAATCTATACACTAATTTACTCTAAATCAGTATAAAATTTGCCATGAATCAGTCTAAATTATAAAAAAAAGAAAAAGAAAAATGAAATCGAATTGAATTAGTATATTATTTATGGAATTAACTGAAATTTAATTGAAATAACAACATAAAATGAATCCGATAATCGTATTATTATTTCATTTTCAACAGTTACAAAGATCCATAACTTCAGGTTACTTGAGTCATTAGAGAAATCAATTCTGATAAATGTTGACACTTTACAAATCCTCAGTACACAGAGAAAAAGAAATTCTGATAAACTCGAAAATGGTAGCTTTCTGTGGAAGATGAAACAAAAAATGCCGGACATGATGGTGTTTATCTGAATTTTTGTTTCTTTGTGGGTTTTTAAAAGAATTTTATTTAAAAATTAAAATTTTAACGTATGATTATAAATTTTTCGATATCAGTAAATATTTTCATTCATTCGTAATATTAATAAGAATGATAAAAAATAATAAAACTTAATCCCTTAATCAATTGAATATTCAACTAAAATTTTTAGCTAATCAGAGCGTCAACCCACCATCTATCTGTTTGCCAAATCTTTGTTACAAACATAAAGATCAAAAGGAATGAATGGGATTTTGCAATGTTTGGTCAAATTTAAACCATGAGCTATTTTTGAAACAATCAGAGACCAAGAGAAAATCTTTTATATTAATATATATATATATATATCTTTTAGTGACTTTTATATAATTAATATATATATATATATATGTCTCCAATCATGCATGATTATCTCCTCATTTATAACAAGCAGTCCCCAAAAGATTCCCTTCTGCTTTTTCAAACTTGATAATGTCAATTATGGGTTTTCATCATAAAAAAAAAAAAAAAAAAAAAACAGATACATGAACATTAACACATTCCTGTATATTCCAAAAAAAAACAGACGACGATGCTTTCAACTTGAATATTATGAGAATACAAACATGTTATTTTAATATAAAATATTTCCACTTTATACTTTTTACATTAATGAATGACTACAGCTTTTGTGTTCGTTTAACCACAAGAATTTGATGGTTCAGAACGGAATCGTTCCAAACTAAAACTAAAAATGGAAAACAATTCAAATTTATATATACATGAGATTTTTCTTCGTTTAATCTGGTCCGATTTAAATGTTTATAATAAAATAGAAGCTATTTTAAAAATTAAAAATTATAAGATATGTGTATTCACATATATATATATATATATATAAATTACGATTGAGAACATATTATATGATGACACTAATAATAATAATAATATTTAATCCTTTTATTTATAATCGTTGGAAGCTGAAGCCCATTGTAAATCCTAAATAAATCGTACTGGTCAGTTCTTCAGTCAGTCTGATACAATTCAAATCCCTGTGTCTCAGCAGCTTGCGAATTAACTTTTCCATTACTTTTATGAATCATGCGGAGATTATTAATTAGAAAATGTTGGAAAGAGAGAGAGAGAGAGAGGTATAATAAATTAGCAGTGGGAAAAGACAACAGCTTGCTTTTTTCTTGGCGTCCAAACACCATCATCCGTCTTCAATCATTGTAAAAACGGGAGAAGATCGATATGCATACAGAGAATGAATCTTTACATTAAATAAATAAATATATTTTTTGAGTTTCAGAATTTAAATCAACATTAGTTATTATTACTAAAATTTTATTTAAGGAATATTTTTAAGGCTCCTAAAAATCATCACCTATTTTTATGCACTAACTTATACATACGTTACTTATACTTAGCAGTTAAATAACGCACTTTAAAAAATAATATTATGTGAAAGTATCAAAATCACGAAGAACAAGAAAAATTGATAGCAAATTATTCCATCTCCCGTTAATTCATTAAGAAATAATTTAATCGACAGCTAACTATTTACTTTCTCTCCGCACCCATCCTTAATCTAATATTTAGATTATCATACGTATATTAATAAACTTATAACATCATTAACTTATTGTAAAAAATAATAATACTTCAAAAATGTCATCTTTTGTTAACCTAATTCTTTTTCCATCTAAAACCAAAAAGAACAACTATATATGCATATATATATATATATATATATATATCTCATATATACGTAAGCTTGACACATAAATGTTACCTTATCAAGTCATATCATCAATAACTATTTCTAAAATTAATTTAATTATTTCTTAATTTAAGTATTTTAATTATATTTTTTTGTAATATTTCAAACTCCAATGTAGGTGGGTGCGGACGTTAATTACTTATTTATATATGATTGAAACATCTAAATTGATTTATAAATATAAAACAGAAACCAACAAGATTTTCTTCACCATCATCTGTTGATCTTGAACTTATTTCTAATATCATATGACCTGAATGAGGGTGAATTGTGGTGAGATTGGCGAGCTCAGTAAGAAAAAATATTTTACAACAGAGATTTACTTACATACATTCATACAATATATAAAATAAAATAATATTTATAATCAAAAAAATATCAAACAAAACATGTCAATCAAAATATATAACAAAATAGAATTCATCACACGAAACATATTTTAATTCTCACTCTTATAACCTAATTCTTATTCTTATTTTAAATCAAACTTACACTCGAAATATTACGTCTAAAGTTTCATCGTGCGATATCGTTTATATCGTTATCAAAGAGAGACGAAATTGATCCCCCAATCGCATGGATAGCACACATATAAATTTCACAATGATCACAGTAGTTACGTTTGTTAGATGACTCATACTCACAAATACATATTCATGTTTGGACTAAATTTTAAACTCTATCCATGTGTAGGTTCACCATCATATTTGATCGCCACCTTACATTTTTCTTTCTTAATTTAATTTAATTTTTTTGGTCTTTCTTTTTTTTCTTTTCTTCTCTTTCTCTTTCTCTTTTCTTTTTTTTTTTTTTCTTTCCTTCTTTCTTTTTCTTTTCTTCTTCCCCTTCTTCCCCCCTTTCCGTCGCGTCTCACCTCTTTGACTGCCGCTAACTCCTCCTCACGTGGCCAAGGCTCCTCCCCTTACTCTACTCTCTAGGCCCCGATCCTCACTCAGCTCGGCTTCCTCTCTCACCCACTCGAACTCAGCTCTCTTCCTCTCTTTCTTTTTTCTCTTTTTTTTTTTTTTTTTTTTTTACTTCTGCTATTTCATTATATATATATATTTCCACTTGGTTTGTTTTCCTTCTCTCTACATTCTTTTTTTTTTCCTAATTAATTAATATATTATATATATATATATATATATTTTTTGTATCCAGCTGGGTATTACATTTTTAATTAATGTAATTCAATGAATATAAATATATTTACAACATACAATTAATTTTATTATTTATATACGTACATGAAAAAATGAAATTGGCATGGAGGTGCATATTTATGCTCATAGCTATGCTAGTTAGAGTAAAACTTTTATAGTTTCTCAATATAATTAATGAAAAACAACATGCATATATATACACACACACACACACACATGGAATTCAATATATCAATGTCGTGGTACTAAATAAAAATGAGCAATATATATATATATATATATATATTGTTGAGAAAGATGGAATATGAAGTATATTGTTCATGTGAAAGATGATAATTCTTGAAAATCTAGCTGTTAAAGCAAAGCCAAAAATGAGTTATTGTTAAATGAACTTAATTACGACTCTCATTATTAAGATCAGTATATATATATATGTATATATATTACAATAGGATGAGTACGATTTAATTAATTGAATATAAAGTTATTAAGTCACACACCAACCTTACAAATATATTAAAAATATCTAAGCATTAACAAATAAATTTTGGTACCCATATTAGTAATTATAATATTTAACTCAGTGTTGATATACAGATTAAGTTAAATGCATGCATGAATATATATAATAATTATTATTATAGGGATAAGATTTTGAAAGTTTAATTGTGAGTACGTAAATTCGAATGCTTGG